GAAGTGTATATGTAGTATGTGACTTTCTGAGGGCTATGGTAAAGCTACATGAAAAATCACTTTCAATTCGAAGTTTGATCAGGCTTGGCAAATGTAAAAACAATCGTTTTACGTGCAAGCTATTCAAGCCAAAATGAAGAAGGTAACTTAATTTCCTTTAACAAAATGTGGCTTTCATGCATTCTAGTCATTATTTCTTTATTTGTTAACTTTAAAAATAACTATTTTAGGTATTTTATTTTGAAATCCAAGGTAGCAATGTGTGTGAATGTATCAGAAGATGCATAGCTCCCCTCAAGGTACGAGTTGTGTAAGTTGTTTTCATGCACTGGAAAAAAGGAAGTCGCCAAGTTAAAAATAGCTAAAGCCATTATGGGTAATTATTTTAACTTAATATCAATTGTTTATATTGTGATTTAATTAAAACATTTTCAGATTCGGTAAATTAGTAAACAAAAAAGAAATAGAAATTAAAATAGATGCCTGGTTGTAGAGGGCTCCGAAAAGAAATAGACGCAATGAATCAAAGCGTAATAAATAACAATTTTTATTTTTTTGTCAATTTTTTTTTCAAATAAATTTATGAAAAAAGTAATAGATTTTATTATCCTACTAAAAAAAACGTTTAGGTCATTTCTGGAACGTTCCAGCAATGGTATAAAAACTTGCCTAAGATGTTTGAGCAACATCGCAGGATGTTCCACAAACGTCTCTGTGAAACATCTCTGATACGTTACAAATGATGACATGGTCATTGCCAGAAACATCCCAGGGACGTTTAAAGGAAAATAAGAAACATGACAGAAACGTTTCTAATGTCCCAAGTGCATGTTTCTGGAACATTCGTGAAACAATACTGTGCTATTAGGGAATAGCCAATATTACAATCCTCTCGAACTTGAATTGTAATTTTATAAGGAATGTGTTAAAATTTAAAGATACATTTAAAATGCCATAATTAACATTAATTTGTTCCTCAAAGAAAATAATTAATTAATTCGTATCGACTTTTGACATACCTGCAAAAAACTTAAAATCACACCACTGGTTGGCATAGGTTACCCCAAAAAAACCTGCTTGACAATACATTACACTCATTTTTGAGGTAAATTCTCAATGGTTCCGTTTTTTGAACAAACAGTTAAACGTCAATATTGTTGGTTTTAGAATGTTTATCGTACGTTATTATAACAAATTTTGAAATAATATTGAGTTGTTCCGATGTAAGTTCTTTTAAATGCAGCACTAATTCAATGAACGTAGGTGTAACCTCTGCGAAAGATTCACAAGCTTCACAGAATTTCTTTTTTCCTTTTACAAAAGAAGAAGTGGTGTCGCAACCGGTTAATGATTAAAAGAAAAGGAGAGTCAGACTTGTTTTTATTAATTTTGTTAGCAACTTCCTTACAAGAAATATACCTTAGGTTCTTACCTGTGCCAAACTCAATTCATATGTCTTGAATTTTAATTTTGACACTGGTAAAAAATTGCAAATGCAAAGCACCAGTAACGACAGATTTTATAGCCGTTTTCAATATAATTTTACGCGTTTACAAAAATTCGTGTGTCTGACAGGTATTTGCTAATGGTCTTTTTTATTCCATTCCATCCGACCGAGGGTACAACCCTGTAGTTCTGGTTTTCTTCATGGTTAGTCTGTCACAGATTCCTCGGAGAAGCTGGTTTTCAAAATTTCTGCCTTTGTATAATGGATCTCCAAAGGCACTCCAAATCGACTGATACACTCTTTTATCAAGACGTCTACAACAGTTGCGGGCTCTTGATTTGGAATGGCGTAGACTTCCACTCACTTCTTGAAATAATCCATAACTACCATTATACAGAGTGGCCTAAAAGTCTGGAAATTATCTCGTAAATTGCTAGTCCTAATTGTACAAAATTTGGGGTACACCTATTGTAGGATACGGAGATTTTAGATTTGATATTTGCAATGTTGCCAGATTTGCCGTTTCTCTTATATTATTAGTCACTTTGGTTTTTTAAATTCATTACCCTGTATATTCAGTCAATATTGGAATCTCCTATTCAATACGAGTTCAACCATATGTAACACTTATGATTTTATGTAGTCCGAAAGGTCTTAAATAAATAAAACAGAAGTCTGGCAACGCCTAATTGTCTCAATAAATTTTTTTAATACAAACTATTTTCAACTACATTAAAGCGTAACAATTGAAAGATTACATTTTTAATATAATGGTCCCTTTATCAAGTGTTCAAAATGTGCTCCATTTGTGAGTTGACAGTACCCTAATCGATGGTAGAATGTGTCTATCATATTTCTCCATGATTGTTTTATTTATTTAAGACTTCCAGACTACATAAAATCATAAGTGTTACATATGGTTGAACTTATATTGAATAGGAGATTCCAATAATGACTGAATATACAGGGTGATTAATTTGAAAAACCAAAGTGACTAATAATTTAAGAGAAACGGCAAATCTGGCAACATTGCAAATATCAAATCTGCAATCTCCGTATCCCAAAATAGGTGTACCCCAAATTTTGTACAATTAGGACTAGCAATTTACGAGATAATTGGCCGTTTCCACACTTTTGGGCCACTCCGTATATTTATTGTGTAGGAGATAAACTATTATTGGCGTCGTAGTTAAATGCTTCTTTAAAGTTTCAAAGGCAGTTCGGCAGTCTTCGTCTCAGGAGAACTCTCTTGCTTTTTCTGTAAGTCGCGTTAATGGTTAAGCAATATCTGCGAACTTCTTTTTGAATCTTTGGTAGTACGTACAAAGCACTAGAAAACTTCTAATTTAATGTTAATTAGTTGGTTGTGGCCACTTGTCTGATAGATTCGACTTTTTAGTTATCTACAACCACTACTGCTGACTATATTACCCAGGTAATAGTCTTTGTATTGGAACAGATGACATTTTGTCTGGACAACACATTTTTCATGTCTTTTAAATGTCGCTGGGACAATACACAATCCAAATGGTATAACATTGTATTGCCACGATTGAGATTTGGTGTAAAAGCTATACTTTCTTTGTCTACTGTGTCCATTTCCACCTAAAAATATCCAGACTTCAAGTCAAAAGTGGAAAATAGGAGGTAGCTAATAACTGTCTTTTCCGGTACCATTGTTCATGTGATAGTAGTCCACACAGCACCTCATAGTTCCATATTATTTCTGGACGTGACCACCGCAGAGACCCATGTGCTGGTAGAAGGTTCTATCAACCTGTCTTCTTCCATTTCTGAACAATCCTTTGGCTTCCTCTCTCTTGGCCTGTGGTTATCTCCAAGCTAATTGTCGAATCAGTCTGGCATCACCCCTGTCAATTTAATGTTTTAAAAACAGAAATTATTTCTGTATTTTTCCTTTAGTACAAAATTTTACAATATTGTTGAAAAAATGTTTTTATTTAATTTTTTACTTATTGATTTAGAGATTGACCAGCAACTACAATTGCTCGAATTTGTCGTTGGAATTATCGGAAGTTGTTGTCTGACGAATAATGGAAGTTACTGGTACACAGGTTCTGATTCTGGTCCTTTTCTTGATGGTTATTGTGTGATCATTAACGTTTATGAGACGTATTGGAGTCGTGACCAATCCAAAGTTCCATCAGGTGTACATTCTTTCATATTTTTTTGAATCTGTGCTCATTGGATCACTCAGTTCTTAAAATCTAACTGAAAACCATATAGTCTCGTTTCGTTTTTATTTTTAAACAGTGATACAAATATTTAGTCTCTTTTTAAGTTGTTCAAAATCATATATCTCTTCTACAGGTATATTCTGAAGAACATCTAAAGCATCTTCTCGAAGGGCGATGGTCAGATTTACTGCCTTTTGTCTTTCGTTCCCTCTGACAGCTGTTTCAAACTATTTTAGGAAGTTGGTCCATGAAAACATTCTGTCGAAAGTTGGGGCTTCAACACGAGCAAAGTTTACAATTCCTTCCAATTTCAGCTTTAACTCCACCTCATGGAATTTTATTTCACAATCATCTATAATTTCGTTGGTCTTTTCAGTATTTTTATTTCCATCTCTTTTATTTCTCCATCAACAGAAGCCATTATTTTCTCCTCAATGGAAGCAATCTTATTTTTTATGTCAGCATTTCATTTTTTTGGAGAAGACTTTTTTCAGGAAGTGATATTATAGGAGACTTTAATTTACATAGAAGACATTTCAGAAAATCTTTTCTTTTAAAGAAGAAATATCAGACGAAACTTTTTTCTTAGGAAGAAATATTATTTTCTTATTTTTTGGAAGAAACGTCAGAAGAAATTTCGTTCTACATGGAAGTCTTATCAGAAGAAACCATAGTTTTCATGAAAGAAATTGAATTTTAATTAATCTCAATACCTCACCTTTATACTCGTTTCTTCATCCTCGCCTACATATCACTATAATAATGAGCTAGGCACATGTCGGCATCAAATTTTATATTATTAACATGGCGCTAGAATATGAATTTTCACCCATTGCTTTTGACCACAGGCAAAATATTGTGCGATTAAAAAAAACTTAATTAGATGCTTTTCTTCCATTATGTTATTTCCTAAAAAATGAAAATCTCTAGAATATGTAAAAGTTATTAACTTACCGGCTGTATGCTTTAAAATCCACATCACCCTTTAAACAAATTGGGTTAAAATTCTTCAAATCAATAATCATGGACCAATAAATATGGACGACAAGTTAACCAAACGTCAAAAAATCTACTGGGTTGTTCCCAAATTGTGAAGAAGGAAAGAAACTGACAAAATTAATAAAACGTCCTGTAGGTATTTCGGTTATAAATGGCCAAATATCCATTAAACAGGGGTTACTTTGAATCAACCTATGTTCGATTCCCTGTATAAATAAATAAAATAAATTTATCGCTGTAGTGACCTTGTTATTTAACCTTTTTGCGATATACAAATTGAAGTGGCATAATATGAAATTGTTGTTTTTTTTTTAATAATAATGAAGAATTCATTTAAATATTATATGTATACTTACCAGCACCCTTGCGCATTCCTCGTGGTCGTATATAGCAGCAATGTGAAGAGCGGATCTGCCGTGTTCACCTCCTTGTTGAATGTCAATTCTCTGTTTATGGCGTCCCATTACTTCCAACACCGCCACCTTGTTAAGCTCGGTGACCAGGTGAATTGCGGCCTGATTCTTTTCGTTTAATATGTCCGTTTTTACACCTCTGTAAAAAAAAATATATTACTATTTTGATATTAAGTAACTTTAATTTGCATGTTTTCTTTTCATTAGTAAACAAAAGAAAAAATCGAATTAAATATATAGTTATATAGTTATTTTTTTGGTGACGTTGTTAAGTGTCTTCATTAAATAATGGAATGGAGCGGTAAACAGTAGAACAAAGAGTTTACGTTATTAAAACGTACTTTGAAAATCGGTCTTCTGTGATAGCTACATATCGCCGAATTCGTAATTATTTTGGCATACAAAATCGACCCTCAGAAAGAACCATTCGTAATATAGTGCGTAAATTCGAAACTACGGGTTTTGTGCAAGATATTAAAACAAAACAGCGTGAACGTCCAGCTCGCTCGGTTGATAATATTGAAGCTGTTCGCCAAAGTGTGGCTAACAATCCCCAAATGTCTATTGCAAGGCGTTCGCAGCAAGTGGGCATCAGCAGAACCTCAACATGGCGAATTTTGAAAAAGGATTTGGCTCTCCACCCTTACAAGATTCAGCTAACACAGGAGTTAAAGCCAGCAGACCATGGCCAACGCCGTGATTTTGCTAACTTTTTACAACAAAATCATCTTAAGCGAGCAGGCCCATTTTCATTTGAGCGGTTACGTAAATAAGCAAAACTGTCGCATCTGGGGCAATGAAAATCCTAGACAAATCCATGAAAAGCCAATGCATGCTCAACGTGTCACGGTTTGGTGTGGTTCTTGGGCTGGAGGTATCACTGGACCTTTCTTTTTTAAAAATAAAAACGAAAAAGCTGTTACGGTAAACGATGAGCGATATCGAGCGATGATTAACGACTTTTTATGGCATGAGATAAGAGACGTGGACTTTAACAATATGTGGTTTTAACAGGATGGTGCGACATGTCATACAGCAAGCGAAACGACGGATTTATTGCGTACAAGATTCGATGGGAGGATTCTCTCAAGAAATGGGGACGTAAATTGGCCACCTAGATCATGCGACTTGACACCACTGGATTATTTTTTGTGGGGTTATGTAAAAAGCAAAGCTTACGAAAACAATCCTCAAACAGTTTAACAGTTAAAAGAGGAAATTTGACGCATAATTCATGAGATAACACCACAAATGTGCTCAGATGTTATGGAAAATTTTAACAAAAGAATTTTGTTTCCTGCCAGAAAAGTCGTGGTGGCCATTTGCCAGATATTATATTCCACGTATAATTGTAAAGATTTATACTTCATATTGCAATAAAAAATTGTCATTTATGTTGTAAACGTTTTCTTTTATTTATTATCAACATCCGGAAACTCTTGTTGGAACACCCTTTATAATAATTTTTAGTCCTAATTGAAACTCATTTTGGTCTTCATCAGGCCTGTAATAAGAGTACACTATAACTTGTTGAAAAACTCATGAAAATTGAGAGAAATCGAAACGCAGTACTTATGACTAGGAAAGAAGACAAATAAGACATTACATACGACATATTAGACCTCATACGTACGAAAAACACATTAAGGAAGAGATGACAAAGATAAACAAATAAACCGCGGGCAGAGTTTGTCTGCATGATATTGCCAAACATATAATTTATTTAATATAGGAGTAACGAAACAAAAAATGGCAAGAAACCCCCGAAGGGTTTAACCCAAAAGACAATTCAGTGTGGGGAATTGCGAATCACTATAAAAACCCGTATTCACAACCCCGCATACTTGAAAAAGGACGAAACACATACGTGACGAAACATACGTGACGAACGACGAAAAATTTCAATTATTTGGTGAATTCCTTCAGAGTATTTCATGAACGATATAGCCAATAACGCAGAAAAATAAAAGATTGAAAACTTAACATGAGTCAAGGATTTCCAGTGCAACAGGGTGATTTTACTAGGTACCCATTAAAAGGTTCATGACTTACTGTGCAGGTTATGAAGCAGCAAGGACCCTGGTCCGGACGAAATTAATAATATTATGTCCTGAAAAATCTGTCTCAAAAAGTTATTGTACAACATTGCAGTATAAAATAAATGTCGAATTTTAGACGCAGTAGTATCGCGACTGCTTGAAAATTGCTAACTTAATACCAAAAAACAAAAAACGGAATAAGAACCTGAAAATGGTAGAAAATTTATCATTTGATATCATTAGCTATTCTTATGAGACTACAAAACTTTGGCAACGCTGGAAGAGAACAGTTTTAGAGGTGGTCACAGTAATGTTACACATGTCATTATTATGGTATACCACGCCAAAAAGATATTTAACAGTAAGAATCAAACAGTATCTCGATACTCGTGTCAATATAACGATGCCGAAAGTGTGTGATGCCATAAACTTATGGTTGTGAGGATTTTATTGTATTATTAGCAATAATTAAGTCAATTAAGCTTTCTGAGTAGGTAACGGTGTACATGTGTTGCATCTTCAATAATTTGTTTAAGACCAAAGCCATCTAATGTACTCAATAAGTTTTTGGATGTAGTTTTATTGCATAAATTTATATTAAAATCACCTAAGCATATGTTGTTGTCCGTGTCTAAAAGACCGCACAAAACTGTATTTTCAAAATATTCAAAATTTTTTTTTGCGTTTGAGGTTGGAAGTTTATATATAACTCCCAAAGCTAATTTTGTTTGGTTAGTTTTTATAGTAATCCATTGTTGTTCTAAACACTCATCGGTTATAATGTCTAAGTTTTTATGTACAAAAAAATCTCTCATATAAACACAAACACCGCCTCCTCTGGAACCTCTATATTTTCTTACAAGTTCAAATCCCGGAATATGAATCATGTTATTTGATATATTTATAGAAAGCTTATACAGCTTATACAGAATATGTTTTAACAGCATTAAATCTTTGATATCATTTATTTTTGGATATAAAGAACAAAATATGACAAATTTGAATTTCTTTTAGAATAATTTTTTAAGCATTAATATTTATCTTTGTTTCTAGTAAATCAACAATTTTACCTAAATTAAAAAAAATAATAACGAGAAGTCCAGTTGCTAGATTCAAAAGATAGTAACCAGAAATAATTAATATTTTTTGGAACTTCTAGTTGTTCTTTTAAATGTTGCACTTTTGCGTTTCTTCTTCTTTTCGCCGCTGGTGGTGTATATTTCTCTTTTCTTTTTTGATCTTGAGTTTCTGCTTTGATTTCAGTGTGATCTTCTTCTGCACTAATTTCTTCCTCGCTGCTGCTGCTGCTGCTACTGCTGCAATTGTCATCACTGTCCGTTTACAATTCTTCTAAATTGCAACCTGCATACTCTTTCCCATCAATAATTAGTTTAAAGCCTTTGATTTTTGGTATGGTATGGTATGGTATTGAATATATGGTGTAACGAGTTACACAAAATAAAGCATTTTGTACATAGGTATAATATTTTTTCTAATTATGACTTGAATATTTATAAAATTGTTTTTATAAAAAAATACTATGCAACCAATATTACCAATACTACCTTCTTGTGTTATTAATTATTGCATATGCGTATTTTCATTCATTTCATAGACAAATAGAAAATCATATTAATTTATTCTCAACGACTTGTGTGTTAAATGTCTATATCTATTGCTTGTAAAAGTTATTTAGATTTCAAAAAAGTGGGTTATTTTGTGTTTTGATTATTTTGTGCAGATTTAAAATGGACCAAAACAACATTATTACTGATTAGTAAGTTCACTAACCAAATTTAATTAAAATATACCCAACCTTACCTACTTTGATATAAACTTTCAATAATAATGTATGTATTGATTTAAAAACTAAAAAAAGGTTTATTTTCATTTGTTTTCTTTTTGCAATTGGTTACTTACAATGAATTTATCGTAACCAATTTCATAATGTTTAACTTTATGCAACTGATTGCATAAAGTAGATTATTTTGACACTTGATGCGATTACAAAAAATGTCACTTTATATGTCAAAATAATAGTATATTACATAACAAGAGTAGTAAGAAGCTAATTACAGGAGAGTAGAAAAGTTGCTCTTACAACTCGAGTAATGTACTATACTTTTCCTACAACCACAATCATACATTCTTAATAACGAGAAGATTTTTCGTAATCTATAACATTTATTAAATACATCTAATTAAAAATATTGTAAATTGCAAATACAACTAATAAATTAACTAAAGAAAAATTGTTTCAAATACCAACCTTTGTTAATATTATTGTGAATCAAGAGCTTCATCTAAATATTTACTTACTGCTTTTAATTTTGTGTGCGTTTCAAAATTTACTTTATTTTATATGGAAATGACGATTTTTGACATACAATACATTGCCTAAAATTATGTAAGTGTGAATTGTTCCATAAGTTCCCCAAAATGTGCCAAAAGCACATTGTCAAATAATTAGTTTACATTGTTTTTTATACGTCAGTACATATGCTTTTGACATACTATTTCATACCTTGCCCTTGATTTTAAAGGCTGTAACTTGTTAGTAATATTAGCAGCCTTTTCAAGAATATCAGGAGTTCCTTCAAATTCATTTTTACTATCTGACAAACTCATTTTATTATTTAAAAAAATCATTTCTATTTCTGAAATGTCAGAACTGTTTATCGTAACCATGGCGATCACCTAGCAACGGAGTAATATGGATAGTTTGATAAATGAAACTGTTATATATTATACAGGGTAGCTGTTAAAGATGGAACCAAACCTATAGTGCTTAAACGGTTCAATATACAAAACCCAAAATTTCAGAATTTCAACTAAATATATTTGTGGATATTTTAGCCCAAAAAATATTTTTTTTATAATTACAAAATTTTAGGCATGGCCGCCATTTTGATTTTTTTAAATAGCAACATAGGTCATGTGATATACCATTTGAAAGGGTGTAACACCCTAATGACAAAAATGTACACATATGGGGTCTAAACACAACAGAAATGATATTATTATTAGGGAGCGTAGGAGGCTGTGCATTTGACACAAGACGTCAAATAATATAACAATAACATTTATTGTTGATTAAGTT